ATTTTTTCTAGAAACTGTCTTATGAGAGTAAGTTTTACTGAAGCAGACATGTGAGAGGATGTTTTGCTGAGAACAGGCACGTGGTGTTTTTCTAGTAGCTGTCTGGTGAAAGGGTATGGGATGTTCTACTGGAGCAGACGCTTGAGAGGACTCGTGATGTTTGGAAAGAATATAAGTGCAACCCAATAGACAGTGGGCAAAACTCTTGCATTGGCTTGTCTTGCAACTCTTCGCTTGTATTCTTTGGGCTTTGTTGATTCTGGTCTCTACTGACAATATTCTTGCATTGGTTCTCCTTGCAATGCTTTGCTGGTCTTTGTTGAAGATTCTCTTGCATTGGTTCACCTTGCTTTCTTTACTGAGCTTCACTTGTCATGATATCTTGGAGAGAAATATACCAAAGAACTTCTGGTGGTATTTTGGGTACTTCTTGCTGCTTCTGCCAATTCATGCTGATCAGATCAGTAGAACCTTTTGGTTTCTTCTAGATCTAGCTGTTGCTACTGATGCATGTTTGGTTTTTTCCTGTATTCCTGATATTTTGCAAGTTAACTGAACTACTGACAACAAAGATTGGAATCACCCCAAAAGACTATTTTTAACAGGTCCACAAGTACTCTTTCCTATTAACCTTTCTACTACCCTACCTCTTACATGTGGTGGGCTAGAAGGGAGGTTGAAGCATTGAAGAACAATAATTAAATTAGTTTTTGAAAACTCTAAGCCTACAGTGGGGACTTTATGGTTATAATGTCTGACCTAATGGTTTTAATGAATGTTTATCATAAGATTAATCTGTCTGTAATAGACCATCCTATGTATCCATGTCCACTTAAAACTTTTTAGATGATTCTTGTGATTTTTTTTTAACACTAGTGTAGCTTCTATGGGCTTGCCTCAGAAACTCTAAGAGGGGCACACTCAGCACATCTGGTATTGAAAACTTGATGTAGAGAAAGGAACTCAGTGCCTGAGGAACAAAAGAGCAACAAGGAATGCTGCTGATTTGGAAGCTTGTTTGTTGTTCTCATTCTGTCTCTTTTTTTATTCCTCGAAGGGATCAACCTGAGTGGTGAAAACCCTTCATTAAATTGTACTACCCAAATTGTACTACCCACCCAAGATTTGTTCTTTGAACATGTATCTGTTTTTATTTTAGAAACAGAATTCTGTACTTTATTTTTGTCCTTTTCCTTTACTCATTATTCATATTTATCTGACTTCATGTTCTTCCTGGATTATTTTATTTTTTTATCAAATAAAAATAGATGAAATGCCCAAAAGTGGGGAGAGGGAACTTGTAGAGTCCACGTCCAGTAGAAAGACAAGGCATCAAGTGGAGGGAAGGGGTTGCCATCCCACAGTCAAAAAATCTGACCCAAAATTATTCCTATATAAAAGAACTGCAGAGACAAAAATGGAGAAAATACAGAGAAAACTGTGGTCCAGTGACCAGCCCAACTTGGGATCCATCTCAAGGGGAAGCTCTAAGACCTGACACTATTATTGTTGCTATGATATTCTTACAGACAGCAGCCTAGTCCTCTGAGAGGCCCAACAAGCAGCTGACTGTGATAGAAGCAGATATTTAGACCCAATCAAGTAACTGAAGTCAGGGACCCCTGTGGTTGAATTAGGGAAAGGAAGGAAGAAGCTGAGGAGGAAGTGACCCCAAAAGAAGACCAGCAATCTCAGCTAATCTGAACCCCTGAGATCTCTCAGAAACTGAGCCACCAACCAGTCAGCATACAGGAGCTGGCCTGAACCCTTCACAAATACAGCAGAAGATTGCCTATTCTGGCCTCTGTGGAAGAAGACGTGTCTAACCCTTGAGAGACTTGAGGCCCCAGGGAGTGGGGAGTTGTGGTAGGGGTGGTGTGGGTTGGAGACATCCTCTTGGACACAGGGCGGAGAAGGGATGTGATGAATAACTGTGAGAAGTCTAACTGGGAGTAGAGTAAGGAATAGACTGTAAGAAAATAAAAGTAATAGAAAAAAAAGAATAAAGTATATAATCATACTCATCCCGTTTATTTATTTTAAAGGCTTTGTACCACTTCAAAACTAGTTATTTGTAAAATCTCTGTCACCTTTGGAATTATTTTTTAACATATTTACATTACTGTTTGTTAGAAATATCTTTCAAGTCACCAGTGCAATGTACCATGATACTAATTATACTGTGTAAAATACAAGCGATTTATTTACTTTGATTTGCAAACACCTGATGGTACATAACAAGTTACAGCATTGATGTTAGCATCATTTCAAATAACTTCAGAAAGCCCCCATCACATACTTTGTTTTCTGTTCTTCGCGTAAGTTTTAATTAGACTGATCAAAGCTGCTTCACACATTGTAAGTTAGAAAAGAAAGAAAAAGAATCAGCATGATTTTCTTTTTTTACAAAAACAAGGATAAAATGATTCATATTAGAAGAAGGAAAAATCTCAAAATGGCAATTTAGATTAAAAATAATTTTAATGAAATTTATCTGAGACATGCAAGTATACTTTTGAACAAATGTGATGAAAACATACGAGAGGCAGATCCTAGTCACGGTGGGGACCTTGCAGTACTGTAGTCAGTGAGACAGTTGTGGGGTGCTGGGCTGGGAGAAGCAGCTGGGAACCTGGTTGAGCAAGTCTTGAACCCTGAACCCTTATCTGGATGGCAGGTGTTCGGCTTTTGCCCCCAGGCCCTGGTTCTTTTCATTTGATTCGGCCCTCCACAGCACCTCCCAAAGAGAGGTCTATGGCCATCAATCATGAGGAACAGTGCCTCAGGCTCTCCTACATGTAGATGAGGTATCTCCAAGCTCTCAGACCAAGCCAATAGGTGTTGTCTGCTGCCAGACCCTAACCCACCCTGAAACTGTATATAAGGGTTCTATTCTGGAGAAGTAAAGGTGTGTTCAAGAATCATCCTGATGTCCGGGAGTTTCTGTCACAAGAGCTGTAACACTAGAGCTGTAACACTTGGGGAGAGATCTGCTCTCCCGGAACCTTCCTGGGGCACCAAGCTGCTTCCTCGCCAGCTAGCCGGCTTCCTATCAGCCCAGCCCAGGCCAGCTCAGCGCTGAGAGACAGGTGCAGCACCTGGGATCAGCGACAGCAGAGACTCAGGCAGAGGCAGCAGTGGGGGCAGGTGATCTCTCCTCCCTGCTCACGCTCTGTACCCTTTGACCCAGACCTTTCACATCAGGCCTGGCTGGAGACCAACAGACAGTGGAGACACAGGCAGAGGCAGTGGCAGAGACTGTAGCAGACCCTCCTTGCTCTCACTCGTCTTCAGCCGGGATATCATCGTGGGACATCATCTGCAACCGCGGACCCACAGACAATAACTGAGCAATGATCCTCTAGTTTATAGTGAAGAACTTTCTTTCACATAAACAAGACTAGAGAGCTTTTGGAAAGTACTAGGCAGTTTCTAAGAAAGCACTCATTTCACTGGACCATTTGTCCCAGTGTCCCTGTCTCACATCTAGGACAATTTAATTACTAAAATGCTAAACAATAACATCAATAAACACATTACAATGTAAGCCTTTTTGAAAATATACTTTTTCTAACTAACATTGATTTAAAAACTTAAAATTGCTGAGGAGAGCAACAATACCAACCAACCACAGCTCCCAGGTTCTAAACCACCAGCCTGAGAGCACTTAGGGAGGGATCCAGGGCTTTAGCTGAATAAGTAAGAGTGGAGGGCCCTGCTGGGCATAGGTGGAAGAAGAGAACCTTGACCTCATGAAGGCTAGACGCCCCAGGGGGTGGGAATTCTGAGGGTGGGGAGGTGGGAGTGGGGGGTAGATAGAGGTTACATCCACAGAGAAGGAGGAGGAGGCGTGAGGGGATAGGGGGTTCCTAGGTGGGTGGGGGATGGGGTAAGGGGACAACATATGAAATGTAAATAAAACATCCAATAAAATAAATTTAAAAAAAGAAACTTTTAAGTAAAAAACATACTTGTATGAACAATAAGAGTGGATAAAGGGCCAGCAAGCTATCTTAGCTTGTAACACTTTGCAAGCAAGCTAGCACACTTGTTTATTCATTGATCCCACATAGTATGAAGTAACTGACTGCAGCATGGTGTCCATCGGAGGCCTCCACACACATTCGTTCACAACAAATCCCTCATAAATAAAAAATTTAGCCATATGTGTTACTTAGGTCTTTACTGCTATAAAAAGACACAGTGACCAAGGCAACACATTTTTTTTTTTAAGAATAACTCAGCAAAATAAAATTCCTGTTTATTGTTGGACATTGTTTTGCACATACATCAAACAGGCCAAAATAAATAAATAAATAAGCAAACAAACAAACAGCAACTTCATAGACAAAAAAAAAAAAGGGAAAAAGAACTTTTATCTTTGACCTTTTTAACCATCTCGTACAAACCAACTACTTATAGTACAGCTAGGTACATACACAAAAGGAGTTACTGGAATGCTTGGAATAAGATTGTTTTTGTTGTTTTTGTTTTTTTACAAGTTTTTTTTTCTCCTTTGAGATTATAATGAACATGGTCACATCACAAGTAAAGTCTGAAGACACAAAACGTTCTGAAGGCTGGTTCAATCACACATTATCATTAAAAATGGCTGACCCCTAACAATATGTACAAAACTACAAAATGTAAATAAAAAATACAAACAAATTTTCCTTTTAAAGTATTTTTAAGAAAAAAGCAGGGCCTGGAAAGTTCTGGTTCTTTTTTCCTCCCATGTTGCCAATTCATGTTGTGGCTTCAGTGGGGTGATGAAGAGCACATGTCACCTGTGGGTTGTACTGGCCTCTGTGGCCTGGGCCTGCTTCTCTGCTCGAAGGTGACCACGTTTAAATTCTGAGACAGGAAGTAGAAAGTGAATAGGTCACGGTGTGTAAGGTTAGCTTTTCCTTTTGCTGTGTGTCATCCTCCTCAGTCTTCTGCTTCTTGGTATCAACATCATCATCCTCTTCATCCTCAGCTACCTGCTTGCCCATAGGAGCCTAAGCTTCCTCATCTTCATCTCTGTCCCCTTCCTCACAGTCACCTTCCTCCTCCTCTTCCTCCCCACTGTCTTCCTTTTCTTCGTCTACCTCACTGTCAGCCTCCTGCTCCCCATTTTCATTTTGAGCGTTCCCATTGGCAGATGCATCTCTTCCATTCTCTGCCTCCTCCACAACTTCCTTCTTCAAGTCCTTGGTGGTGATTTTGGAGCTGGTGTCCACTGCTGTGTTTGACATGATGGGGCATGCTGCGGGTCCATGGCAGCAAGTGAGGAATCAGTGGAGCTCAGGATTCTGGCAGGAAAGCTGCCTGTTGCATGAGGCAGTGGGTGGTGAAGGTGCCTGCAGTGAGCGCCTGAGCAAGACCCAGGAACAATGTAAATATGGCTTTTCAGAGCAGCCAGTGGGCAAGGCAGCTCTTATAAAGGACAACATTTCATTGAATCTGGCTTATAGGTTCAGAGGTTCAATCCAGTATCATCAAGGCTGTCATGCCACAGGAAGAGCTGAGAGTTCCATAAGTTCATCTGAAAGCAGCTAGGAGAAGACTGGCTTCCAGGCAGCTAGGAAAAAGCCTATGCCCACAGTGATACCTCATCCAACAAGGCAACAACTTAAATAGTATCATTCCCTGACCAAGTATATACAAGCCATCATACTCTGAACAAAAATGAGAAAGACAATTAAAAACACTTAATTTAAAAGTGAATATGACTTCAATGTAGTATTAAAAATTTGCTATTGATCTTCTACTTTAGTTGATTAAAGGATATATTTTTAATCTTCTTGTGGATTAATTAGTTCAGAAATGAGCTATAATAATTTATTTGATTTACTTCCAATTGGATGTTGTTTCTCACTTAAAACTGGAAAGAAGGAAATGATGCTTGGGTATCTATTTGTTTAGAAACAAAACTCATATGGAGATTTAATTGTGAAAATGCTAATGCATTATAAAGCGCTAAATAAACAGAGACTTGAAGTCTACACTTGTTCTCTGACACATTAAAAATTAAAAAATAATTTGTAACAAGAATGAGAGGAGTATGTAAGTTTTTTATTTGTTTGTTAGTTTGATTTGTTTGGTTTGTTTGGTTCTTGTTGTTATTATTTATTTATTTTCCTAACAATTGGTGTTTGGTACAGAGTTTCTAAAATCCTATTAATTTCCTGATTAATGAGGTTAAAATGAATAGTGTATACTTTACTTTTTGTGGACTGGAAAGGATTCTGCTAAAAGCAGACTTCCTGTGTATCTTAGTGTATTTAAGAGAGGAGAGATACAGCAATGAGAACATAGCTTGATTAGAAGATTGGAAATTGCAACCTTGTACAATCATATGGATAGAGATGGTCCTGATGAATGCATAATTGTTCACATCTGTATGATTACAGCTTCATGAACATCTCAAAGTGCGACCATGAGAACTTGTGGACTCCTCTATACAACAGTATGCTCCCAGGCTGGGGAACACCACCAATGCAATTAGATGTTTGAGATCCTTTAGAACATTATTTTCCCCTTAACCTTGATGATTTTGTATAATTGTATAATAACTTGTACTGTAAATTAATGAAATATCTTCCCTTATTTATAATAAATAATCTGATATGTGTTTATGAGTTCTTGGCATCTGACACCAAAATTGGAGTCTGAACCGAGGCCCAGCCTTTCTTCTGCATGATCTGTAGTAGCTTGAGTCACTAGTGTCAGAATCATTCTATGTAAAGTTATTCCACTCCTAGTTGGCGTCCTGATGTAGAAACCCCACATACAATGTGTTAGAAATAGTATAAATATAAAAATACTTTTTTTTTTACAGATTCTTCTTTTTTGAGTTTCAGATCATCTACTTTTCTTCTTTTGAAAGCAATGTTATAATGTATTTTATGGGAGTATTTAAAAATAAAATATTATTATCCTAGTAAAGACATAAATATCTTAAAGGTGATAAAAGTTCCTTTAGAAAGGGTGTTTGGGGAAATAGGGCAAAGTCAGTCCAAGTGGAAGGCCATTTCTCTCAAGGGGGAGAACTGTTGGCTATTTTCTTGCTTATATGTTTAAAGATCTTGAACAAAACATAACACCCTCTCATGTTAAAAGTATTGGAGAGATCAGGAATTCAAGGCCTATACCGAAACATAATAAAAGCAATTTATTGCAAACCAACAGCCAATATCAAATTAAATAGAGACATACTTTGAAGCAATCCCACTAAAATCAGGGACAAGAGAAGGATGCCCATTCTCCCCATATCTATTCAATACAGTACTCGAAGTGCTAGGTAGAACAATAAGACAGCAAGAAGACAACAAGAAGATAGAAATTGGCAAAGAAGAAATAAAGGTATCACTATTTACAGATGGTATGATAGTATACATAAGTGACCCCAGAAATTCTACCAGAGAACTTTTCCAGCTGATAAACAATTTCAGCAAAGTGGCCAGATATAAAATTAAATGAAATAAATCAGTGGCCTTCATTTATACAAATAATAAACAGGCTGAGAAAGAAATTAGGGAAGCAATTTCCTTCACAATAGCCATAAATAATATAAAATATATTGGGTAACTATAACCAAACAAGTGAAAGACCTGTATGACAATAATTTTACATCTCTCAAGAAAAAAAAAATTGAAAAAAATCTCAGAAAATGGAGAGATCTCCCATGTTCATGGATTGGCAGAATTAATATAGTAAAAATGGCCATCCTATAGCCAGCTACAGATTCAACATAATTCCCATCAAAATCCCAACACAATTCTTCAAAGACATGTAAAGAACAGTTCTCAAATTCATCTGGAAAGGCAAAAAACCCAGAATAGCAAAAACAATTCTTAACAATAAAAGAAAGGCTGTGGAAAATCACCATCCCTGACCTCAAGCTGTACTACAGAGCAAGAGTGATAAAAACTGAAAGTTATTGGTACAGAAACAGACACACTGATCAATGGAATAGAACTGAAGACACAGAAATAAAACCACACACTTACGGACACTTAATCATTGACAAGCACTCCAAAAATATAGAATGGAAAAAAAGAAAGCAACTTCAATAAATGGTGCTGGTCTAGCTGGCTGTCTGTAGGTAGAAAAACGAAAATAAACCCATATTTGTCACCTTGCACAAAGCTCAAGTCCAAGTGGATCAATGAACTTAAAACCAGATACATTGAATCAGAAAGAGAAAGAGAACAAAAAAGAAAGTGGGAAAGAGCCTTGAACTCATTGCCATGGTGTGTGTGTATGTGTGTGTGGGGGGGATTTCCTAGACAGGATTCCAATGGCTCATGCTCTAAGATGAAGAATTGATAAATGGGACCACATGAAACTGGAAAGCTTCTGTAAGGCAAAGGACCTAGTCAATAAGATAAATCAGCAACCTAAAGATTTGGAAAAAATCTTCACTAACCCCACATCTAATAGAGAGCTAATATCCAAAATATGTAAAGAACTCAAGAAGCTAACCACCAAAAAACCCAAACACCTCAATCAAAAAATGGGTTATAGAAATAAACCGAGAATTTACAGTAGATGAATCTCGAATGACTGAGAAGCACCTAAAGAAATGATCAAAGTCCTTAGTGATCAGAAAAATGCAAATCAAAACAACCCTGAGATTCTACCTTACACCAACCAATGGCTAAGATCAAAACCTCAGGTGACAACACATGTTGGCTAGGATATGGAGAAAAAGGAATACCCCTCCATTGCTGGTGAGATTGCAAACTGGTACAAACACTCTATAAATCAATCTGGAGGTTGCTCATAAAAACGGAAATAGATCTACCTGAAGACTCAGCAATATCACTCTTGTGCTCTTACCCAAAAGATGCTCCACCATGCCATAGGGACACCTGTTCCACTATGTTCATAGCGGTCTAATTTGTGATAGACAGAAGCTGGAAACAACCCAGATGTCCCATTACAGAAGAATGAATATAGAAAATGTAGTTTATTTGCACAATGGAATACTACTCAGCTATTAAGAATGAGGACATCCTAAGTTTTGCAGGCAAATGGATAGAACTAGAAAATATCATCCTGAGTGAGATAACTCATATCCAAGAGGACATGCATGGTATTTACTCACCAATAAGATGATATTGGCCAACAAAGCAAAACAAAAACAAACAAAAAAATCAAACAAAAAATAAAGTACAGAATATTCAAGATACAGTCCACAGAACTCAAAATGATCAACAAGCTGAAGGGCTCAAGTAAAGACACCTCAGTCCCACTCAGTATGGAGAAGAAAGCAAAACAAGTGGGGAGGGAGGGACCTGAAATGGAAAATGAATGGGTCTGGGCAGGAGAGAGGAAACTTATCTACTATTGGATGAGGGAAAAGGACTGAAGCCCTGAGGGTCAGCAGAAAAAAATGGAAACAGACAATCTAGGGATGTAGGAGGTTGAGGGACCCTCCAGAATGCACCAGAGACCTGTGAGGTGAAAGACTCTCAGGACTCAAAGGAGGGACCTTAGATGAAATGCCAGACAGTAGCAAGAGGGAACTCATAGAGCTCACCTTCAGCAGGAAGACAGGGCATCAAATGTGGGAGGGGGTTGCCATCCCACAGTCAAAACTCTGACCCATAATTTTTCTCATTTGAAAGAACTACAGGGATGGAAATGGAGAGGACCCCGAGGAAAAGAAGGTCCAGCAGCAGGCCCAAAGTGGGATCCAGATCAAGGAGAGGCCCCAAGGCCTGACACTATTACTAAGGCTATGGAGAGGTCTCAAAAAGGGACCTATCATGACTACCCTCCAGAAGACCCAACAAACAGCTGAAAGAGTCAGATGTAGATATTTGCACCCAACCAATGGACAGAAGCTGCTGACCCCTGTGATTGAATTAGGGAAAGGCTTAAAGAAGCTGTAGAGGAGGGCAACCCTGTAGGAGGACCAGCAGTCTCAATTAACCTGAACTCCCAAGATTTCACAAACACTGAACTGTTGCAGTAGTTATTTAAAATGGCCTCTGGTCAAGCTGAGTATCTAAGCTGTGGTGGCTCTGCCGCCATGTTTCTTAGCCAGAGGCCATCTGCATGCAGCTAGAATCAGCCAGCCAGAAACACCAGCCCTGCTACCCACGAGACGCCAGCGTGGGAGATGGCTCTGCCAATCTTTCATGCTGTATTCACAAGGCTGGGCATTGACCAGACCATCCCACCATCCATGCAGATCCAGTAAGAAAATGAGACTCTAATGCTTAAATTATCCAAAAGCTTATAT